ATTATCTTAATTTTTTATTTGTATCCAAAAAATAATGTTTTACCCATTGCATCTTAATGTTTCGATCTATATAAAATTATAAGCATTTTATATACATTATTTCTGTTGAATGCAGAAAATCAAGAAGAACAAGACAAAATATAATTATATACTTCTTGAATTCTTACTCGAATTCTTATTTATAAGACTTAATTATTTAATTCATTAACATTAGAATAGATACTCTTTAAATTATTTATAATTAATATATTTTAATTCAAAATGTTTAAATTAAAAATAATTAATATATAAAATAAATTATGTCTCGTAAAAAAATTAAACAATAAGAACCTATAAATATGATTAGAAGTAGTAATATATAAGAGATAAAGCCATCTCAACCACAATATTTAATTCATTTTTATTTATCTAATTATATTTGTTTTGAACCAAGCCTGTACCTACCACAAGTTCAAGAAGACTAATCAAAATTTCACGTGCACATTAGGGTCGACAAGGCCCAAAATACAGTTTGATACAAACATAACCTAACAGTGTTTGGTGGGGTGATTTTCAATAGAAAATTGAGATGAGGACAGGAATCAACATGGATTTTAAAAGAAAAATACGTGTATTTGCAGGATTTCGATGAATTTTATGTGGGTCTCACAGATAAATTTCCTACCTCTATTGTGCCAGGATCCATGACACTTAAAAGTTTAATGAAGAAACTAACCTCAAATTCTCGTGACATTCTTTATTTTGTCTGGCTCCCTTATGTTATTTGTGTAATATAAGTTCTATAATCAACTATGTTTGAATCATAACTCGTTATGGTGACGTGATATATTTGTATGTTACTATATGAAAGATGTCATCATTATCAATTATGGTAAGATTTTAATGCATTAATTATGTATGATATTATTGTGTATCGAAGGACACTCATATATTTAATTTTTCCGTCTTCAAATTTTGACTTGTTTTTATTTTTAATTATAGCTGGAAAGCTTGTTAAACACTTTGTTGAAAGATGTGATATAAAGATTTTATGATATAAATTTATTAAAATATAAATAAAATAAATCTTGATTATAAAGTCTTTTATTTTATTTTTTTAAATTGTGTTAGAATAGTCTTTCGAGGAAATTTCACAATATTAAAAAAATTAAGATCTCAATTGAACCAATTTGATTAGATTAAAATAATACAATTATATTATTAGATCACCTAATAAAAAATGTGGAGAATAAAGGAAAAGTATGAATTGTTTTAAAATAAGATAAAATTGGTGAATAATCTTAAAAGAAATAAATATAAAAAATATACAACATAATAAATATAAAATTCTAGATTTATGAAACTACACAATATAGTTATTCTTTAAATAGTATAGATTGATATCGATTGGTTCATATTAGTTCAATTCTATATGCGCATAGGAATTTAATGCTCATGTACTATTAGTAAAAAATAATTATATGTTATTAATTTAAAAATATTATTATTATATAATTTATTAGATAATTATTATAGAATTTAATAAATTTATTTATAAATAATAATTTGTAATTGAATGATAATGTAAACTTATTTTACATTTTCAATACATAGCTTATTTTTTTATATTAAAATTTATTAGAGATTATCAAGAGAGTCTATATTATTGGTTAGTGCCTTGTTACAATCTCTTAATAAATTTATTATATATATATATATATAATTTTTAATTAATTTTTTATTTTTTATATTTAATTCTTATATTATTAAAAGGTTCAATTTAATCTATTAGTTTTCTAAAACAATGCAATGTGATTTTAAGACCTATTAACTTCTTATATAAATGGTACAATAAAAAAATGGCATGCATTATTATGTACACAAAAATTTAACATTGTTGTGTTAAAATTATTTTAATTATAAAGAATTAATATTAAATAATATTTAAAATATTATTCAATTATCATTAAACGATAGATGAGAGTATATACTGTTTATTTCATTAAGAGTCAATAAACATATATCGATTCAAATTTTTAAAAAATAGATAAAAAAAAGTTCTCTAACTCAAAATTATTATCTCTCTTTAAAGTGACTCTAATACGTTCAGATTCAAATTAATATTTTAGTCTTTCTAATTATATGTTATCATATAAATATGATAGTAATCTGTATATATAGTTATTATGTTATATCATATGTTTATATTAATTTTCATAATGTTAGTTTCAATTGTAAAAAAAAAAATGGAATAGAATAACATAAATAAAATAGGAGACTAAAAAGTAATTTTGGGTGTAAAAAAATAATGTGGGGGCATTGGTACATAGTAGTCTAGGTAAAAAAGTTATATTGTGGTTGAGAAATTAATGGAAGCTACATAAATGTTAGATGATACAGAACATGTACTTTAACGTAAGCAAAATTGAGGGCTGATGATATATACACCTCCTATCATTTATAAATACACCTTCAATTTTTTTTCTTTTTTTTTAAATTCCTAAAATATCTTTCTAACTAAATTTTTATTTTTAAAATTATTTTATTCACCCCCTTCTTTTATCATTCTTTTTCTTCTTCTTTTTTCTTCTTTCTTCTTCTTTTTCTTATTCTCCTTTTTTATCACTCTAGTCATTTTTTGATGATTTTATTCTTTTTCGTTTTTCATTCTTGATTTTTCTTCTTTTACAATCAACGTAATCATATTTTATCTTTCTATCTTTTAAATTCTATTTTTCACTTTCCACTCTATTCTTTCTTAAACCCTAATTTTTCATTCAATCATCATTATCCTCTACATTCAATACAAGGTACAAAATTAATATATTAAATTACATTTCATATTTATAATTTTTTTAAACTTATTTAACATTACTTATGCACAACAGGTTCGATCGCAGACGCCGGTGGTGGATGAAGAGATAAAGAAACTGGTAAGTTAAATGTGCCATGCGCTTATAAAATAAGTTTTTTAGCATTCCGGAAAGTACTTTCCGGAATAGTAAAATTATTGTTCATATAATTCCGGAAAGAGCTTTCCGTAACAGTAACTTTAATATTATGGAAAATACTTTCCAGAATGTAAAGTAAGTTTTTTAACATTCCGGAAAGTACTTTCCAGAATAGTAAAATTATTGTTCATATAATTCCGGAAAGAACTTTCCGTAATAGTAACTTTAATATTATGGAAAGTACTTTCCGGGTAAGTTAACACTCCCAAATTTCTTATCCAAGTTCTACCACTGTCTAAGTATATTGTTGTGATTCAATTGTATTTAACAATTTTTAAGACAAGTTAGATCTATAATATATATAAGAATTAGCTATGATGAAGTTTATATCATTAATTATATTACACCGAAATACTCTCGAGTATACGAGGAGCCATGGGCGCAAGTGTGTTGTCCTCTTGACACCGGGCCTGGTAATTGTAACAGCCCAAAGATAAAGATGACTTTGCATCTTTGCCCCATGAAATAGAATAACTCATCATTCAGGCCCAAAACTTTTGTTACATGGACCTTTCGCCATAATCAGACCAATTTGCTGTCCAAAATTAGGGAATGCTCTGACAATTGACCAACAGGAAAATAAATCAATCTTAATGTTGGGCCTTAAGATTGAGTCTGGGCCTTAAAATGGTCCTTAGGGAATAGAAGCTATATTTAATGTTAATTTTAAGGGTAAAGATATATGCACCTTTTTCTTTTTTTTTTTTATTTAATAAGTACACCTCCTTTATTTTTTTTAAATCTTAAAATATTTATAATTTTTTTATTCTTTAAATTTTTAATTTGACATATCTAACTTTTAATTTATTATTTTTTCATTTCACACACCTCATTTTCCAGTTTTCACATGCATTATATTGTCTTCTTCTAATTTCTCACATATTTCAGTGTATAGTTTTAGTTCTCTCGATTTTTATATTACTTTCTTATTTTCTCACCTTTTTTACTTTTTCACATACACCCAAATCATAGAATTGGTAGGCGGCAATATTGTAGATACGTCAGTAAGGATGGCAACAGGGCGAGTTTGGTATGGGTTTCATGATACCCATTCCCGTCCCCGCGAGTTCAACCCATCCCCGTCCCCGTCCCCATACCCGTCGGGTATAGATTTTCATCCCCATCCCCCGTCCCCGTCGGGTATCGGGTATACATGTACCCGTACCCGTCAATTTTTTTATTTTTTATTTTTTGTAAAAAAAAATGATATTTTTAAATTAATTTTTTTATTATATTATAATTATAATTAGGTTATTTCTTTATCTCATATTATAATAAATAATCACACATAAAAAAAATATTAAATTTTTTTAATATAATTAAATTGAAAGTAAGTATTAAATTAAAAATGAGAACGGGGACGGGTACGAGTACGGGGCGGGTAAGTACATACCCGTACCTGTACCGTACCCGGTCAAACTGGGTATTCCTCGTCAAAGTCGGGACGGGTTCGGGTATTACTCGCGGGTACGAGTATATTTGCCATCCCTAGATACGTGTAACTTCCTCGACAGTTTCTATCAAACTAAACACATATTTTTTCTTCCAACACTTCCTTTCCTTTTACCTATCTAAAAATCTTAACATTAAGTTTAGTGTTATGAAAAAAACATTTTCACTATTCTAGAGTACTATGAAGATAGTGAAATCAACGAGAAAACTGAAAGAGGAAGGAAAAAAAAATAATATAAAACTAAAAGAATTAAAATTACCTACCAAAATAAGTGGAGATGGAGAAAAATTAAGGGGGTGCATGTGAAAATAAGGAAAAAAGGTATATAAAAAAAGTGTTAAATTAAATGTTAGGAATGTAAAATTAAAAAAATAAAAATAAAAATAAAAATAAAAATATTTTAAAAATTTAATTATCTTTTTTAATATAAAAAAAAAAGAAGAAAAAGATGTGTATCCTATCCTAATTTTAATTTTAATTTTAACGGCAGCACCGACGCCGGTTTTGTTACCGCGTAAATCAAACGAAAGTCTAATAATATTAATTATGAGGAGAGATAGAGAGAGAGTGTTTGATAATTGATATTATTCGTTTCGTGTGATCTGTTTGTTTTGTGAGAAAGTTGCGATGGGGTCTCTGGCAGCGTTTCCAAGGGGGGCATCCAAACAATGCCTTAGCGGGAACAAGCACATTGATGAAAGCTCCGTGGAGGCGCTGTTCAAGTCGCAGCAGAGCCACCTGAACTACTTCTTCCACCACATCGACCACTCCCAAACCCTAGCCTTCACGCGCGCGCTCCTCGAAACCGCCGGCACCGTCTTCTTCACCGGCGTCGGCAAATCCGGCTTCGTCGCGCACAAGATCTCGCAGACGCTCGTCTCCCTCGGCGTCCGCTCCGCCTTCCTCTCGCCGGTCGATGCGCTCCATGGCGACCTCGGGATCCTCACCGACCGCGACGTCCTCGTCCTCCTCAGCAAGTCCGGCGCCACCGAGGAGCTCCACCGCCTCGTGCCGTGCGCCAGGGCCAAGGGCGCGCTCCTCATCGCGCTCACCTCCGAGGAAGGCAACGCGCTCGCCGCCAAGTGCGACATGTCCGTGCATTTGCCTCTCCAGAGAGAGCTCTGTCCGTTCAACCTCGCTCCGGTCACATCCACCGCCATTCAGATGGTGTTCGGCGACACCGTCGCCATCGCGCTCATGGAGGCAAGGAATCTCACCAAGGAGGAGTACGCCGCGAACCATCCCGCCGGCAAGATCGGGAAGAGTCTCATCTTCAAGGTTCCTTTCCTTTTCCTTTTCCTTTTCCTTTTCCTTTTCCTTTTCCATTTCCATTTCCATTTGCATTTGTTTTAACCTAATTTGTTGTGGCCTGATTGTGGAATTGGAATTGCAGGTGAAGGATTTGATGAAGAAGGAGGATGAGCTTCCGATTTGCAGAGAATCGGATTTGATCATGGATCAGCTTGTGGAACTGACGAGTAAAGGATGCGGATGCCTGCTTGTTATCGACGACGGTTACAGTCTGATTGGGACGTTCACTGACGGTGATCTCCGTCGTACTCTGAGAGCCAGTGGAGAAGCCATTTTCAAACTCACTGTTGGGGAAATGTGCAACAGGTAACTTAACCATTATCATATATCAATATATTGTATGTCACAGAGAAATAGTTTGAAGGCAAAATTGAAATGTGGAATGGTTTACTCTTTAGGAAACCAAGAATAATTGGTCCGGAGGCAATGGCGGTGGATGCGATGAAGAAGATGGAGGCTCCTCCGTCGCCTGTTCAGTTCTTGCCTGTGATAAACGATCAAAATATGTTGATTGGGATAGTCACATTGCATGGTTTGGTTTCATCTGGCTTGTGAGTTGTGATGTCATTGTTGTATTAGATTAGATAGATATATAATATATGATTGCTCCATTCTTTAGTTTTTACTCCACACTTTCAAGTGGGATTCACCTGTTCTTATGTTACAGTATAATCCTTGCATAGGATTCAGAGGCATAGATATCAATTGTTTTTGCCTGCCGACATCGCGGGCCTCTTTTCACTACCACTTTCCGTGCATTAATTATTAATTATTAATTATTCATATGTATATTTTGTCTTGATTTTTCTTGTACTATTGATATTACATTTTCAATTTCTTATAACAAGAAGCTGAGCGCACAAATTCTGGTGTGTGCAAGTTTTTATGTGGGTGTTTTATGAGGATTAATTTCAGCTAAAATAGTGGTATGAAAAATGATATTCCAAATAGTCATGTGTTTTACTAGTATGTGATTGATACAAGTGATGTAAGCCAAAATTAATAAACAATTTATACATCAATAATTTGTGTGCTTATTTAATGTGAAATAATGTGTCACATGTTAATCAGTTCACTTTACATTTTTTTTTCCTAGTGGAGCCTTTATTTTGGACACAAAAACAGCTAAGAACAGAAGGTGACGATTGGAATTACTCGGAAGAGAAATGTGAGTGAAAACGACGTGGGTAACAGTGTATATTTATGTATGCCGTTGAATAAAAAATAAACATATATCTAAGAAATTATAAAATTGCCGAGTACGTATTTGTAATCCTTGAGAAATCGGAGTTGAAGGACTCGGAAAATAGTCTCTCTCTCTCACTCCCTCTCTCTCTCTCTATATATATATTGTTGCCTTTTCAAAAACTTCAGGTCAAGACAAAGACCGACTTGGCGCTTTGGACTTTATTGGCCATATAAATAGATAGGTTGTTCAGAAAAATAAGAGGACAAAAATAAACTTGCTTGCACCTCGGAAAATATCACTTTGTGAAATCCTGTCGAACAAAGGCGTATATAATTAGTAGTAAATAGAAAAACAGCCAAATCTAATTTAACAATTTGAAAGTTATTCAACCATTGTTGGCCAGATCTAAAGGAGAAAGCAGCTTTCTGCTGTAGAAAACACACAGCAACGCCAAGATATTGGAGAGAAGGAAAAAAAACTCAGGATACAAAATGAACGAATGATTTTGTCATTGTCTACTTGTCAGCGTGTTGATTTTTATAAACACGAAATTTAGATATAATTTATTAAATACAATTGGTATTATTCTTCAATTAGAGTTTAAATTTTATTTTAGCATCAAATAAGTGCATTAAATATAAATTTCATTAATATATATTTACACAAATTAACGAAATATCATAAGTATCTTAAAAAATTGTACATAAATTTTATCCTTTTATCCTTTCATAAATAGTTGAAGAACATTAGCATACAAGCCAAGCTTTTTGTAACTATATTCTATGATGGATGTCCCCTCCAAATTTCCAATGTCAATCTTGGCATGAAAAAATGGTTATCCAACACTGATAAACCTACAAAGGACACTAATATATTTCTTTCCTCTATGAAAAAATGGCCATTAGCTATTTATGCATTGTCAGAATCTGACGATGAAGATGTGCTGGAACTATCGGATGAAACTTCAATCAACACGTTTTCTTGTAGAAAAGACAAGTAACGCGAGTTTATAACTGGAGGAACTTTAGATACTTCCGGCTCTCCTACTTTCTTTGAAATGGTAAACTTAGCCCCAACTGCCTTCGTGTCAATTTTGGTGCCAACAGAATTGATTACTTTCATACCATCTGAAAAGGTTGAATGAATGTCATTAGAGCTACTGTGAGTGCCACCAGAAGTTCGCATGACTTGGGAAACCACTTGATTTTGTTTCTTTTTTGATGGACCCGAAACCAATTCACTTTGTTTCTCTTTTGATGAATACAATATTTCCTGCAAATTACGTCGTTTCCCCATTGAGCATTCATCCGATTCTGTCTGGGACATGGACTCTTCCATCTGCAAGTTTTGTGAAGGGCGTTTCCCCTTTGAGTATTCATCCGATGCTGTCTGGGGTATAGGTTCTTTCATCTGCAAGCCTTGTGAAGGGCAGGTTGAACCACTTACGTTTTCTGGGTTTTGTTTTGATCTCTTGGAGGCAACAGAGTTCAGATTTAATCCGAGATCCTCTTTGGCCCATTTATAGACTGCACTCAATTTCCCATCCAAAGCTTGACAAAGAACATTCAAATCACTGATTTCATAACGGTATAAGAGAATTTTGTTGCTCCAAATACAAGAACAAAGCTGTTTTGCATGATTAAGACATGCAAACTTGTCATCTGAACATGAACACGCTACAGCAGACAAGTGTAAATCACGCAGGCAAATACTACATTCCCTTTTACAAGTGACATCGAAACTTTCACCCATTCTTTGTGATACCAAATATGTACAAAGAAATTTCCTCTTCAAACTTTCACTCTGGATGCGAGACTACACAAGGGAAACAAAATATGACAAGAATGAATGCAACCTGAATGAAGCAAACTATGCAGCCAAATTTGAACACACAAAAAAAGGAAATGAAGGAGAAAAAGGCCTTCAAAACCTTCTTATTAATACGAAAATTTGTGCCTCTTTCATCATTTCAATTTATCAAGATAAATAATTGAATACATGTTAATGAACAAACTAATTTGAAGTTGACTAATAAATAAGTTCACTAAAACTAGGATTTAGAGCTGAATCACTTACGTTCAAAGCTTTTGTTAAGAACACGTTTCTTCGATAGACATCTTTACATGTCAAGCTGTCTGATGTGCTCTTCATGCACAGATTAGTTTCCCATAGGACCCTCACAGCTTCCCTTGCTGCTCCTAGCAAAAGCTTATCATATGAAAGTAACGTCTTTCTCCTCTGTTCACAATATAGCTCTACAACATTCTGTCCGTGAAGCAGCCATGCAATAGGAGCAAAACTTACTGCTTCAGAGCAGTTGAAACCACAATCAAATCCCGAATGATACGCCCCAGGGAAGACAAGAACAAACTCACCAGGATACTGAACACATCGATAAACAGGTATACCCTCCGCCTTCAATATGGAGCATGATAATTGCATCCCCTGTACCAAATATTTGCATGAAGAGTGAAGACCTACCTCAATATCAAAAAATAGTGTTTCCCTTGGGCGTTTTGAAATTGAAACAATATTATAGACCTTATATTTCAGGTGACAGGAATTTATCCACACACTGGGAATTGAACAGTTGAAGAATAACATTTTATACTTGTATTTTCTGTGTCAGAAAATTTATGGCAAAAATTATTACACACTTCACCAGCAAGCAGCAAGAACAAGGTTTGGCAGACTTGGAGCCTAGAAAAGATAGACCTTTATTTTGAAACTAGTTTTGTAAATGGCAATAGCTTTAGCAAAATGGTTTAGTTGCTGAAGTTGAACAATTAGCACAAAGAGCTGTTAACATTTTCAAGGCAAAGAAAACCAGTTTGATTATAATATTTGGTACTGCAAAACCAGTTGAATTACAATAAAGTAAGCATGCTTAAGGAAGTGAAAAAATAGGTCTTATAAGTCAAGCCTGCTTCCTTCTCCAAGCGCCCATTGCCCAAGTGAAATCCAGTTGGCAAAACAAAAGAACATAAAATTATCTTTCCTCAAACCTAAAAACATGCAGGATGGAGAAATATTTTCAATAAATAGTGACAGTTGGGGAGATACTGCCGGGAAATTGGGTGAAATTAGTATATAAATAATCCAGTAGAGTCAAAATCCATCTGACCAATAATATGATAATTGACAGAAAAGCATGTATGGATTCAGATTGAAAGGTCAAGTATAAGACAAATATGAGAAATTAAAGGTGTTAAGCACACATCACAATTACTTTTCAAAGAAAAACAATTGTTCATAAGAAGCAATCATATTCTCACCAGATTATCATGCATATTAGGCTGTCTTACATCCAAATCTGGGAGATATTTCTTCCAAATTGTTTCAAAGTTAACAGCAAATCTTCCTGGGATGCCATACCACACTCTCGGTTCACCCAAATGAACATAAGATAAGGCGTATAAGTGGTGCTCTTCAACTTTCTGTTTTTGTCATGTGATTAAAAAGAAAAGTAAGCAGAAGGGATTCATTAATTACATTTGAAAGTTTGTCAGGGAGTTCCCCCAGAAAATCATTAGGAGATTAAAGAGATATTGAAAACAAAGACGTGATGTTAAGGCAATAAAGTGATGGCATTACCCAGCTGAATGGAGAGAAGCACATTCCCACATGAATCTGGGGAGCAAAATTACGTAAAGCTTCAGAGCTTTCTAAAGAAAGAAGGGAACCAGACACTGAAAGAATATTATTTAAGTTCCATCCAGATTTCAAATATTCAGGGCAAGTGTATGCCTCCAAAGGATCAGAAACCGATGGAAATCCACTGCTAAAAACTCCAGCTTCCAAAGTGTTACCACAAAGCACCTAGCATGAGGTAGCATTAGATAAATTAGAATTTGCTCAATGTATCAAAGACTGAATGAAGATGGACAAGGCACTGCATGTTTCAATTTATTCTTCAAGATACCTTTATTTCTTCAGTTGGATTTTGAGCAATCCGTCCATATTCACCCTCAATATTCTCCACAGATGGTTCCCACTGCTGTTGACGTATAGCTTTTATATTGGAAAGCATAATCTTATTCTTATCCTTATGATTGAAGTACTGTCTCTTAAATTCATCTGCATATTTCTTAAATGTCTGGAGACTGAATTTAGGACCAGGTTCAGACTCATAGTAACATTCTTCAACATTCTGATTATTTGGGGTGCCGGCGTTTCTATTGCCAACCTGAGAGTCCAAGGCTACTTTTACATATCTTTTTCTCTTGGTTTTTATATTTTCACGACTGGCCATAATTTCTTGTGCATGCTGAACTTGGTGTCCATCAATTCGCTGAATCTGAGCAACAAATTCAGACTTTTCCCATATGTTACTTTTCTCAAGAACACATGGTGGTTTCCAGCAAGTTGGAGGGACAATACGGCAAATTCCATAAGGTTCTGCTCTGGTACGTATGCTTGCAATATATTTAAGTGTGTCTTTGAATTCCTTCATAATTCACACAATTACTCAAATTATTCTACGATCTCAAGAATCATAAGAATCCACATTTGATGCCATAAATCAAGACATATACATGGAAACACAAGAGTGAAAGCATACTACTATGTTTAGGTTGTAGATAGATACCTCTTCGGTTGGGTGGAAGATAGGAGCTTCTTCCAGAACTTCTCTTCTTGAATCCTCAGGGTGCCACCTTGCTGTCACCTGGTTCAAGACTTTGATAAACAAACAAAAATAAAGGAGACATTGTCATATGACTGTTCCAATGTGGAAAGGTAAAGTGAAAGGTACATACCTTCAGACAATTACGGCAGTTTGGACATCCATGTATGGTCCCTTTTGGACGACCAGAATTTAAAGGGAGAACCTAAAAAAGGAGCAGGAAAACAAATACAATTAATTTCTTAATAGTTAAAAAGAGAAACCAGTCATGTGACTATGCTCACAAAAGCACATGAAAAATTTCTATCAAGTCATCCACCGTAAATCATAGTTGTAGTTATATATATGTTAGTCTGTGTGAATTCTAGCAGTACCAGTGGCGGATATTGCCTAATTCACACCTAATTCCAGAATGAATATCTATGGAGTCCTGCAATCCTGAGCAAACCACCAGACACATCACACAAAAACAGGCAGTTTAAATAAACTATCTGCATCTAAATATGAGTCCTAATAACAATATAAAACTTGAACAAAATACAATTAGCAAGACTCTAATCCAATTATAGTAGGTTACCCACCACCTAAGGACTTATAAGGTATCTTGAATTCATTGTTGAAATTATTACTCAATATAAAACAAACATCCAATGCCAAACAGACTCAATATTTTGGGCATAAAGTATGAATGCAATTAACTTATGGTGCAGTAAGAGCCATTGTCTGCTCTGGGACTATGCCTTTCTAGTTTGATTTTATTAATAATCTTATCATTAACAAAAAAATAAATAAAAAAATACAAGATTCCCAACTTAACCCTTGGAAGATGCTCTGTTTGAGATTCCTCGGGTTTGTGGTGGTTGCACTGGTCCAAGATTATCCACGGTCGATGTATAAGAGCCTGCTTATAAGCAGTAATGTCATTCATCTCAGGTTTAGTCTCCATGCAAATCGGCTCTTGTTCGGATGCAATTGGAAAGGTTGTAGATTTATCAATTTTCTTATCATTTCCACTCCGTTTCAAAATGAAAGATGTTAGGGATGCAAAACCAGGGGGAACTGAAAGATTTTCCATCTTCTCAAATGAGGTGCAAACATTTCCATTATCTGCTTCCATCTTCACTGTAGGAAAAAGCCAAGCAAATATTATCTAGAAAACCATTTTTGTACCAATAGATACTTAGAGTAGAAAATGAAATATTGGGAAGGTATGCATTAAACATGATTGCAGACAATTCACTACCCTGATAGAATTATTGATCACTTAACAGTTTGAACTTCAAACCAGTACGATAGCTGACTATAACATCCAACATTTCAACAGGGTAAGACAAGAAGTGCAGGGAAGAGGGAAGTGGGGACAAAAAAACCAGGAAATTCAACTGTAAGTATTGATCATACTGAAGCTATGCATCTTAACATAGAGGACACAAAAGCAACATTGTATATCTCAACATATAGCACAGTTATAATTATAAGGATTCAAATCGTAAATGAGAAGGCCTATTTTCCAAATTTTGAATCATAAGATTCATGATTAATAATTAAACATAGCATATAAAACTAACAAAGACATAAAAGCACAAATTCATGATCAATAACTAAAAAACAACTCTAGGAGCATTTTACATAAAGAAACATATCAAAAATCAAAACACACACACACACATATATTAGCATTTTGAAGTCAAATAGCTAACAAAGAGACATATAAGCTTCAAAAACAAACAAACATCCAAATCATTACAGCAACACGGCCAGAAAAACAGTGGCTGCTGCTACAAAGAAAAGGAACAATTGTGGCACAATGAAATACAAAGAAAAGGAGAAAAGAAGAGTTGATCATTCTGTTTTGTTGGGAGGAGCAAAGAACAAGTGAAGAAATGAAGAGAAAACAAGAAGAATGAGTGAAAACATGAAAAAAGACAGTGGACCGCCCTGGTCATATTGGAGGGGGAAAATTAGCATGTTCCCTCTCATTTTACCTGATTCTTCCCCCACCCCTCAAAAAAAAAAAATAGCATCTTTAGGGGCGTGACATGGTTGTCCTAGAATATCACAATTCATATGTGGAATGCCATTCATATGCGGTTCATCTATGATACAAGCATAAAAACTATTTGACACGTGATTTGTATCAACACGATTTGAATCTTATCATATTGTGAATTGTACAGTACTAATAAGAATGAGATAAAGGACACAGAACAAAATTTACAATAATAAATGTCAATAAATGATAAATAAAAAATAGACACTGCTTTAAGTTAAGCATATATCAAAAGTAAAGATGTTAATATTAATAGTTTTTAAATCAAAACACAGTTATGTTAAGAATATATCAAAAGTAAATGGATTGGATCCATAACCATATTTTTTTCAAAAAATAAAGTTGGATTTTTTGAAAATAGTTTTAAACCAAAATACCAGTTTTTAAAGCAGTTCCAAACCAAAAAAAGCGAATTTTAAACAATTTCCAAACAAAAAAAAATAGTTTTTAAACTGGTTTCAAACCAAAAGACAGGTTTTTAAACAGGATTTAAACCATAATAACTGGCTGTTTTTATATTTTTCTATTTCTGCTGTAATTCAAGTGGGTTCCCTATATATTCTGAACCCGTGTATTCATTTGTGAGCAGTAATGAAAATGAAGCTTCTCTATTACACTTTTATCTCCCTTGATTTTATCTAACATGGTGTCAGAGCTTCTTGATCCTCCACCAGAACCCTAATTTTTCTTCTTCATCTCTTCTATGGCAACGTCAAATAATCTCTCTCCCTTTTCACAATTTTTCTCAACTCCATAGCTGAAAAACTTGATGATTCGAATTACCTTCACTGGAGGCAGCAGATTGAACCAGTCATCAAGTCCCACAAACTTCAACGGATTGTGGTTAATCCGCAAATCCCACCTCGGTATTTGACCGATGTTGATCGTGACTCTGATATCGTTAATCCAGCATATGAAACCTAGGAAGTCCAGGATCAAATGCTTCTCACATGGCTGCAATCGACGCTCTCGAAGACCATCCTTTCACGTGTCATTGGCTCCGTTCATTCTTATCAAGTGTGGGACAAAGTTCATGAGTATTTTCATACTCAAACCAAGGCACGTGCACGTCAACTCCGCACAGATTTGCGTTCCACCACTCTTGATGGTAAATCCATGCGTGACTTTTTGACTCAAATCAAAAACATTGCTGATGAACTTGCTGGAGTTGGGGGTCCTGTGTCACTTGAAGAATATGTTGATGTTGTTCTTAAAGGTCTGCCTCAAGAGTATGCACCTGTGGTCTCTGTTATTGAAAGCAAGTTCGTCACCCCTCCTATTGCTGAAGTGGAAGCTCTTCTCCTTGCACATGAGTCACGAGCTAACCGGTTCCGTAAGCAATCTTTCTCTCCTTCTATTAATTACACTCAGGGTTATTCTCGTGGCAATTTCAGTGGTGGATCTTTTAGAGATAGAGGTAGTGGTAACAGTGGACGTCGCGGTGGTCGAGGTTTGGGCAGAGGCCGTGGTAGTCAATTTGCAAATTTTTAGTGCCAGATTTGCTTCAAGTATGGCCATACTGCCAATATTTGTTTCTATAGAGCTGATATTAATTATCGACCTGCAGAATCCCTTGTTCTGTATGATCCTACCACACTGCAGCCTGTGCAGGTCACCCCTTCTTCAAACCTTAAAGCCTCCAACACTTGGGTGAATCCCAATCAGAAACAGCCCAGCCAAGATGCTCATGCCAATGTCACACCAAGTGCTATGATTGCTAATACCTCTTCTCAAGCAGGTACTCATTCTTCATGGATTCCTGATTTTGGTGCTTCGTTTCATGTTACTGGTGAGCCTCAGAACATCCATCAGCTAGAGCATTTTGATGGTCCAGATCAAATCTTCATAGGAAATGGTCAAGGTTTGCAAATCAATGGTTCTGATTCTTCCTTATTTTTATCTCCTATTAACTCTCAATTTAAGTTTCAGCTGAATAATCTTCTTCATGTTCCCCTTATGCTCGAGGATTGACTCCTAATTCTATATATTTAAAATGTGAATTTAATTTTGATCTTTTGTCATTGTTGAACACTCGTTCAATTAATTGTTGCTTATTAACAAGTCATTGGTCTCAGTGGAATAGGACTCAGTACCTTTAAGCAAAGTCTCAAATTGATAGAAAAAAATGGTCGGGAGGAGATACTCACTAAAGGTAGTCAGCCAGGTTCTCTAACAAGATTGGTCATTGACAAAAACTAATGAATACTTCGCATCAATAACATGATTATCAAAAAAATAAAAATAATTGTTGCTTTAACTTATCTGTTTTACATGCTTGAATAATAACATAAATTTTGCACAGATTATAACTAAACTCTAAAGACAGTTTAATTGAATAGTAGAGGAAAAAGCTTTATATGTTTACTTAGCAGCTAGCACCAAGCTAAACCTTCATAGATTGAAAAAGTTATTTACATTATTGAATGATGCCATATTCTAGTTGAGAGATCTGTTCCAATATCTATGCTACTGGATGTGAGAATTTCATGTTTCAGAATAACCTACAATGATGATGAAGAGCAACCAAGTCTGAGGGAAGGCAGGGGCTGTCCCTGTGCTTCACATTGCCATTTGCCAAGGCTTCTTATCTAGTTGTTGCAAAGGGAGCATCAAGTATGCTTGGAGGATTGTAAATTTGTAATTGCTAAGAATGCAGACTCCATGCTATATGCAGAACCTTGGGCTTAAATGATTCAGAACCAGATTTAGACATCTTGCTATATGATAGGTTTAGTCTTCTGTGCCAAACCAAACCATGTCTACCTTTGGTGATACCGTGATACAACTTAATAAAACTACAGGAAGCTCAATATTCATCCACTCCATATGGTTGCTTGTGTTCAAGACTTTGTCAGCTGGGGAGCTGCTTGTCTTATCCTCGCTATTATCATGGCTCTCACCATCGTAGCTTTCTATATGGGGAAACCAATTTACAGGTACAGGTGGCCAGAAGGAAACCCTTTAATGCCAATTTTACAGGCAGAAATAAGGAAAAGGTATCTGTACCTTCCTTCAAGTCCTGCTCTATTGCAAGAAGTCCCAAGGAAGGCTTCTGACTATTGAGCCACACTAGCAGGCTCACGTATCAATCACACATGGACCTTGTCAGATTGAGACTAATATTTTTATGGTTAGAATTTAATGGAATGTATATATTTTCTGATCCTAGTAATAATGTTTATTGAAATTATTGCAAATCAATTCAATGAATAGGTTTCTTAGCAAGACTGAAATAATGGAAGGGAAACATGTTGAGCAGGGAGGACAATCCATGGAGATTTGATCCAAATCTGTTAGGGTTACACTACTATAAATTCTAAGATAAAAGAA